CGCCTTTCGATAGAACATGATAAATTGAGGTCGAGAAACGAAGGCACGATCATACGTATAGCAAACAGAATAAGACAGAAAATCTATACCATACGTTGAATATATAATTTCCTTTTTTTTCTGATTATCACAAATAACAACTTTCCCGATTTCCTTTGAATGAAAAATGTTCCACCGTTACATTTATCTATAATATAATATTATATAACGTTGTGACTCGTTAAAGAATTAATATTCATTGTTTCAGAAATACTTTTCGTCTAGTATCATATTGCAAAAAAGTTTTATGAAAAAGTATATATCTCTCGTCAGAAATAAAACATAATTATCGGCATCGCCCGGCATTTAATTTCGCAAGGAAAATGCTAAAATGGTGAAACTGAATTAAAAATCAAAGGAGAACAATCGAGATATCATTAAAATATTGTAAGTACAAACAGTAAAAATTTAGAACAGCTGGCATTGTAAAGTCCATTACACCCTGCCAATCCGAGGCCAATATCCGTCGATGGTACTTCGTCAAAGACAGTCGGGTCAGGTCGTTCCCTGGTCTCGTCGCACCATTTGCCAAATTGAGAAAGCCTTTAGTAATCAAAAACGAACCTTGATATTCTTTTTCTACCAACGGTCTTGTATTTTCGAGAGGCGCATACATCTCGACTCGAATGCTTTTTGCTGCGGTCGACCGCATTGCCCGGCGGCAGGGAGGTTTCTTAAAATAGATTTCAGTGTTAACTAGAGGTTAGTTTAACCACATACGCATACATATATACTTATCGAGTGGAACATACAATGCCATCGTGGGTTTCTCTAGACAAGATTTTACTCTATGAAAGCTGGACATGTATGCGCATTTGTGCTTTCAGCTACAATCCGTTGCTGTTACACCAAAACCTACGTCTCTCTATTGTAATTTAAATAAAGAATATTAATTAATTCAGTATTACTAAAATAATAAAGTAATATAGAATAATGAGCTGACTCTGACCAAAGAGACAGACAGAGAGAAAAGGAAAAAATCCAATATGTGTATAATTTAATTTATATTTTAAGATTTCTACGATTTTGTAAAAAAGTAAAAAAAGCTACAGAATTTGATGAAAAAATATTTTTCCAAAATGTAATTTAAATGAAATATATTCGCATTTAATCGATAATTGATTTTGATCACACTGTCTTCTTGTAAGAGAACTTAAGATTTAGGACTCGCGTAAACGTAATTTAATTTTAAAATGAATAATAATCTGGCATATATTTTCATTCGTTGTCAGATAATTACTACTTTTCAGATATTAAAATCCTGTGCACTTTTATCTACTTATTCTTTCTATTCTTTTTCATTTTGCACACTTCCTCAGACTCCCTATCTCATCTCTGTTTCTATTTCTTCGCTTTTCCGTTTTATGTATATCGAGAGATAATGGATACTTCGCATTAGTGTTCTTCTCTTATTACTATTGTCGCTTTTTTCATGCGAACAGCCTATTCGAAAGAAAAGCATCCACCTTGCGAAGGCGAACCGCGCGCAAGAAGAATTTGATGTACCGCATCCGCTATTTTTACGTGTCTCTTCCGCCATCTTTCTTGACGCTTGGTTTATTTGCCTGTCACGTTGACGCGCAATTATTACGAACGCGCTACGTGATTTAATATGCGACCGTACTTCGTTGCACTTTAGATCAACGCGATAAAATTTCCGACAATTTGTTTTTCTTCCGTCGAATGCGTATAGCGCACGGTGTGGATGCTATCGATGCAACATATGTATATGCAGCATGACGGAAATTGCGTTATTGTCAACTATTGAAAGTTCAACTTGAAATAGTACAAAACGAGCGTATTCTTGATAAAGTTTACGATATATAAGAGGATATCGCGATATATTATAATTGTGATAAAAGTAATTTATCAATGTATTCGTCAAAACTGTCAAGTAATCAAATTTTATCTTGATTTATTTTCAATGCATTATGCTCTCCGCTTTGATATCTGCTCAATTTGAACTATAATTTATTTTATAAAAAAATAAATTTTTGTGATTTAAAACTGAATCAAATATAAACAAATGTCTGTATAAATTTCCGATTGTTATAGTACGTAAATAATATATTTATAAAATGATAAAATATAATTAACAAATAATTAAAATGTATACTTATCAATGAAGTTAAAAATTTACAAAATTTATTTCAACTATTATGTTTTAATTTATATATACAGGGTGACCCATTTTAACTTAGGCAGCCAAATAACTCGAAAACTAAATCCAATAGACAAAAATGTTTCAAATAAAAATGGAACGGTGTCGAGGGGGACACGTTTTAGTCACGTTGTTTTTTTCCTAAGTGGAGGCGCTGAAAAGATATGAAGGTCACCTCCACTTTTTTAAATGGAATTATGTAATTTTTTTTAGATAACGTGATTCCTCTAATTATTTTGCATATAAAAGTATTAAGGTAGAGATACCAAAAAACCAATAGTTTTCGAGATATTTTACACTTTATTTTGATACATATTGACACAAAATGTTAAATAACTCGTAAACTGTTGACTTTTTGATTATCGTACCTTAATACCTTTGTGAACAGAATAATGAGATAAATCAAATGGTGTAAAGAAAACACATAGTTGCTTTAAAAAAAATATGTATACAAAATGGATAATTTTTTAAATACGCAATTATGTGTTTTTTTATACCTCTTGATTTATCTCATTATTCTGTTCACAAAAGTATTAAGGTACGATAATAAAAAAGTCAACAGTTTACGAGTTATTTAACATTTTGTGTCAATATGTATCAAAATAAAGTGTAAAATATCTCGAAAACTATTGGTTTTTTGTCTACCTTAATACTTTTATATGCAAAATAATTAGAGAAATCACGTTATCTAAAAATATTACATAATTCCACATTTAAAAAAGTGGAGGTGACTTTCATATCTTTTTAGCACCTCCACTTAGAAAAAAAACAACGTGACTAAAACGTGTCCCCCTCGATACCGTTCCATTTTTATTTGAAACATTTTTGTCTATTGGATTTAGTTTTCGAGTTATTTGGCTGCCTAAGTTAAAATGGGTCACCCTGTATATATTTTCACGATTTTTAACTTTCATTCCTAAAATTATTTTGGAGAAGTGTAAGTAACATAAAGCGTCAAAAAAAATTGTTTAATGTGTGTGTAAATATTTACCTAATTATGCAATCTAAAAGGCCTCAGTTTTACATAAAAACATCGATTTAATAATTATCGAAAGATACAAAGTGTCAATCTATTAATCATCGAAACATTTTTACATAAAGTTTTAAGATTATTTTAAAAAAATACATCAATTTTTATATTTCCAACGTTTTAAAACGTTTCAAACGTTTGAGCAAGCAGAGATTATCAATCTGGCGATGACTGTTTAATGATTGACTGATTTTGTATGCCTTACGGGACGTGACAGGAATTGACGAAGGTACGCTGACGTAGATTGCCTGCTGTGCCCATCAGCTGTGGTTCCTAACAATTTCGATAATACAATTTGACCCCGAGGCACGCGAACAAATCTGATTTATGTCATGTGCGTAAAGCGTGAGAGTGCGATAACATTGCACTTTCGCTGCAGTCATGCCCGCGCGTTTAAATTCACGATATCGATATTTGTTAGTATGCAACAAGAACGAGCGGCGCCCGGCTTGCGTGCCAATGTGAAAATCCTCCGTTGATGTACAGTGCTTTCACACGACCATATATGCGAGAGAAAATATTTATTACCGTTCGCGATTTTGCACCGAAGTACCGAGATGCTTCGCGGTGGAACTGAATATACGACATCACGACAGCGGGAAAACGCATTATCAGTATTACTGTATCAGGTGTCACGTCGAACAAGCTGTCGATACCAGCGGCGATCGGTGTCACGCGTAATTGACCATTACATCTTTTTTCCAACTTTCTCCCAAATATCTATTTTCGAGATATACTGTGTGTAATATTTTACAGAAAAATTTACGATACATTTTGTAGAAGAATCTTGTTGGAACATCTGTTACTTCAAAATGAAAAACTATAAGAACTTCACCAGAGATATTATTCTTATTTAATAACTCTAATAAGTAATTAATTAATAAGATTCGACCATATATAGCATATTCAATAAGGAATTCGTGAATAAATTGATCTTAAGTAAAACGAGCAAATAATTAAACTTTGAAATTTTATAAATACCTTTTTACCTACACATTTCGAAACTTAGTGTGTTTTACAAAATTTCATATTTTAATATATTCCTATGAGATCTCTTGGAAAATATGAAAAATATGCGTCGCGGCATCCATTGTGTCGAATCGCTGTCTACACACGAAACATCGCAGTGAATATTTCCATAATAATATGTACGCGCAAATAGTGAAAACCACTTCACGCGGTATTGCAGCGTGCCATGTTGTTGCTCCAATTCCAACTTTTTTTTAATGACTCATTTATTCTCTAAAGTAGCATTACTTCTGCTGTATGCATATATATTTGTAGTCTTTTCTTTTAAAATTTACAAAACGATATAACACAATCGAATTTTAATAAGAGAAGAATAATCCTTTGTCATAAACTTTCCTCAAACTTAAATTGAAAATTCTGTTAAGAGGAGACAATTTTTGAGGACATATGTATGCCGTGCTATATCTCGGTAGTAATTTTAATGTAATCATAATAAACCGATTGTTTGAAATAAAATAAAAAAGGAGAAAACATCTTTTACGATTTTCTTAACAGAATTAGGTATACATTTTAAAATTGTTGCTTGTTACCAAAATTCATAATTTTTACTTACATTGTGTATTATTTCATAATTTTACACACAACAGGAGATGAAAAAAAAATCGCTCCGCACAATTAACAAAGAACGAGGTAATTTCTACGAAAATTCGTAAAATCTGTCCAGAGGATATACAGCGTTGTATAGCTTGCAGTGAGAGATAAGGAAAAGAGAACACTTATATAATGTGCAATTTGTTGCAGGGAGGGCGAGGGCGGCGGTGGCGGCGGCGGCGGCGGTGGCGGTCGTTCTGTGACCGGCTCCGGTGGCGGTGGTGGAGGCGGCGGCGGTCGTCGGGCACCGAGCCTAAGGCTGGTGAACGGAAGGGCGACCACGGGAGTGAGTTTGCACACCAGCAGCACCGAATCCGTGCGCTCTCCCCATCACCAGCTCGGCCAGCAGGTCGGCAACAACAACTGCCACGCCGGTAACAACCCCGCCGCGAACAATCATCCACGGCTCAACAAAGATGACAGCATCAAGATCAGCATCGAGAACACCAACACGTGCACGGACAGTCTCGTCACTGCTTTAGACGACGAGACCCTGCTCATCACCGATTTCCTGGGCGACACAGGTAAGCGCCGCTGGATCAATAATGAAAGAGAGATTTGCCAGCCTTCGATTAAATATTCGTAAATACAGCAATTCTCTCTGATTGTCTCTTAAGCACACTGAGAATGTTAATATTTCTGTAAATATGCGTTGACATATTTATTTGTGTTACCACCTACATTGTTAACCACATACATTGTTAACAAGTCACATATTATTGCTTACAATTAAAATTTGCGAACTACTTCTACTGATTAAACAGTTCATTTTCATAAAATGTATAAATACGACAATCATTTCAAAGTTAGGTAATTCGATTAATTACGGCGGAATACACAGATTGTAATAACTTTCATGCACCGTGACAGAATGCAATAATACTGCATTTCATGAAATCCTAAGAGAATCCACATTTAAATGTACTATTCAATGCAAATGTATATTTTATTGTTTATATTGCTTCTTTAATTTTTGTAAAAGTCTTGATAAAAGTGTCATTATTCGTTACTTTTATACGACAAACATCAATGTCGTATAAATATTATGTTTAAATATACAATCGATTTATTTGAAAGTACACGGAGATATTTCATGGAGATTTGCATAAAATATGATATAATACATAAGCACAATCAATAAAAGGAAATAAAAATCCTATAAATAAGCAAAATTAAGGATGCATAAAAAGATGGAATGCTTTGACTTACTTAGCCATCATCAACCATCATATATGTATTATATCAATTTATATTCGATTATGTCTTAAGCATATATATACAACATATATAAAAAAACATGTTTAAAAAATATACAAAAATAATTTAATTTATATATAATATATTTTTTTAAATATGTTCAGATAAATTGATATACAATGTATGATGGCTAAATAACACGAAACGTTCCATCTATTAAATGTATAATAATACTGGAAAATTAAGTATACATCCTTAATTTTGCTCGTTTATAAGCTTTTTATTTCCTTTTAATTACGTATATGAGCAATTTGTGTCTCTGTTTCTCATTATAAGCACGATCGTTATAAATTCCAATTGAGCTTACGATCCTTAAACTTCTCAGAGGAATATAAAAAATGTGAGTAAAAATCACAACTTTAATGAGATCCGCCGTTATAGAGTGATACAATTCTAACGATAGAAGTGAACCGTGCAATTGCATTGCACGTTGCATCGTCGTTACTGTACCATACTATTGAGCGATACTCGTTGCTAAGATATATTTGATTTCTAAATCTTTTATTTTATTTAGTAGGTCGTGCGACTTATGTTTATTCAAATTTACCGCGATCGACGAACTCAGGTGCCGCTAGTGTTGTAGCGATACTAAGTGTTTTGTTTTAAAAACTGTTGAAAAGATAGCAGATAGTAGTTCAGTTAGAAACAGCGAATAGACCAGACGTATAAGGTTCATAAAGATTAATTTACACACAATTCTAAAATGATTCTTAAATATGTATAAAGTCTGCTGCAATGTAAAGGGAAAAGTAAAATTTAACATAAGAAGTAATCCATGTTATGTTAATCACTGCTCATGAAAGAGACTGGACGTGAAATTGTAGACTAAATTTACGACTATTCGCGATCGTCAGTACATTTATTCTTTACCTGTATCGCGTCAATAAATTACTAAATCGAATCAGAACGCTCATAAATGTCAAATTAAACTTGCTTCTCGCAGATATACGTGAGTGCAATTGTTGCATCGTGGTGTTTGCGGTGAAATGTCATAAATCATTGATAGACTCTGTGACACACGCTTATATACGCGTGTAACGAGTGTATTGTCCATTGAGTGATATGTAGAAATGTGAACAATGTAATGCGTTTAATATGAACGATGTACAACTAATGACAATTTAAAAAAGAGTTTCGTTTTATGGAGATATACTTAAAATAAGAAACGAGATTACCATACAAATAATATCGAAGCGAAAATCGATAGTGCAATATGTTAAATATCACAATCCTGAAAGAAAGAGAGAAAAGAGAAGGAAAATATTGTAGCTCTTCGTAGGTGTATAATGCAACACGATACGTTTCATGAGAAATGATTACCATGCTCAAAGTTGTGTTTTTCGGGATAACGATTTCTTTTTTAACAAAAACAATTTAAAACATGCTCATATTATTTATTAACAGACGATATTACTACATGAAATTTTTAGCAATGTTTACACGACTTTATAAATGCAAATTCAACATTGTTATCAAGGAATATAATAATCCATTATAAGCATCTCGTCTTTCAGGTTTGAATGCATCGTATAATATTTGCCGCGTACAAATGCAGTAGATCTTTCGTGGAAATTGGAAATATCCTGTGATGATATACTGGAATATAATGAACATTTGACATTTCGCGCAAATATAGTTGTTTTCTGAATCCAAGTGCATTCATTAAAATAGTAAACCTCAATGACAATTTGCAGTCTCTCTGATGATATTTTCTTATGTAAATAACTTCATCGGAAAGTAAGTAAGTAAAAAAGTATGATTTTAACCTATAATTTTATTGAATTCCATGTCACAGTAACACAAATTTAAATCATCCAATTTATATTATTGCAGACTCGAACTCTTACAGCACAGAAACTTTACGAAATTTGCAAATACGACTAACATGCAAATCTGAATATTTTTTTATAAAAACTAAAACGATAAGTTATATGTAAAGTTTTTCTCTGAATAATAACAAACAAAATGTTACATTCTTAAAATATCACACAAAATAAAAAAATATTAATTTTTTCAAAATTCTGGAAATACAGGATAAGGCTGTAAAACAGGTCACCTGAATAAGTATCACGCTAAATTTTATATATTAAAATAACATATATTTATACATAAAAATAACATGACGTAAGTGAATAAGTGTCAAATATTCTAGGAACATACTCCCATTGACCAACATTTAAAAAAGTTTATACGAACATGGACTTAAAAACGCTCAATTTTTTAGATAAGAGTTTCATTATTTAACAATGTCAAACAATTAATGAAAATAATGACATTTAAAATAATCACATTAAACATTTGAAATTTGAACATTTCAATAAAAAAAGTTTTAACATTTTTTTACAAAGTTATACAAAACAGTTTTCTGCAAATAATCTTATCTATATTATATAGTGCCAATTATACATAAAACAAAAAGATTAAAAAAATCTTTAATTATTCTAAAATTAAGCCTTTTTGCAATGTTCAATCTTAAAAGATCTCTATTACTTGTCCCATTATTTGGTACTAAACAATCAAATTTCTCTTACCTCAAAAACGTTTCTGTATACGTAAACTCATGTTCATATAATTTTTTTATATTGTTAGCTAATAGAGGAATATGTCTCTAGAATATTTAACACTTATTCATTTATACCTTATAAGTATGGATAATATAGGGATTAAAGTAATATAAAATATACCATATATATTCTGATAAAAATACATTTCTGAATGATACAAAGTATTACAATACTTTTGTGTCTATTTTTCTTTCTTTTTTTATTAATCACAAGCTATAATATATAAAACATAGCTAGGCTTTTCTGTTCGTCCGTTTCAAGTATCATACGGTATATGATGATCGCAATAAATTGCGATATTGGATCTCTTACGCCACTGCGATACGTATTGGCAGGAATCATGGTAGAGCGTTCGGGGATTAGCGTATACTAACATACGGAAAAAAAAAACCGGTACATATGTACTCGTTCGTCCGGCTAAAACCGGTCAGTGGATACGCGTCTCTTCTCGTGCTTCTCCGCGTCCTTGTTCCGTTACTTAAACGAATCTTGCGCGGTATCTGCCTTTAGACCGGGTCAACGCGATACTCTGTTTCATCTCGTTCTCGTTCGCGAACTTGCCATGACGGTGCACGTCGAAGATGGAGAAGGATCCGATTTAGTGGCGCAGGAGATGCCGCTCATGCAACAAGACGCCGTACCGTCGCGAAACGGTTTAAAATCGAACAATACTGGTTCCTGGTCAAGATCGTACGAGAAGTTTAGCTCAACTTGGACATTACAGGGTAAATCGCGTAAATCTGGTGAGTGTTGACAAACCGTAACGGTTACGCAATTGTCAATAGTCATCAACTTCGTCGGTACTTATTTCAAGAAAGAGACACAAACACGACGATTGTATATTCCTTCGTTGAATCTTTTTCGCTTTTTCTAAACCAAGACTTTTACAAAAAAAAATAATTACATTTTATAAATTGTGTACATAAAAATAATTTAAACAATTAATAAAGACATAATATGATTAATCCTAAGTCATTATATTTATGTTTTTATTAATTTTTTATGAATCAATGAATATACAAAATATCTGTAAACGTAATAAGTACGTGTATACAGTATAATAATTATTTACATATAGAAATATTTCGTTTATATATCTACATGAGTGACACAAATATTCACAATTACAACATTAAATTGGGATATTCATATTAGAGAATTATTCAAAATTAATATCGTATATAAAGTTTGGAAAATTATACATGCGTTATTGATGCATATACATATACAAAAGTGATACTTGAGTTCTTAAGAAAAGCTTCTTTGTTTTAAAAAAAGATGCATTATATTACAAAAAATGTAAATAAAAGTTGCAGCAACTAAACGAAGATACAGAATGATATGGAATTCCCGAATGTGTGTGAATGTGTATGAGTGTGTGTGATGTGTGTCGCGACACATTAGATTTGATTGTCTGATAAGTTTAAACTTATTTAAATTAAAAATTAATTGTGTAATAAGTTTAAACAGACAATTAACATTTTTAAAATAAATTTAACTCATCTTGTGTAGTCACACACAAGGTCTAAAAAATTACGTGAAATTTGCGCACAGCAAATTTCGCGAGTTAGTTCACGAGCCATAAAAATATTTCAGGTTAACGACATTAAGTCATACATGTCGGCGCTATCATAGCGTAAGTTTACACGTTCGGTTATGCCTGTGAATAGTTTGCGATTTGTGCTTCGTGCGACCCGATATCGTGTGACTCGGCTCGGGTTTATCGGACAGGCGTGAGATTTTACGGGCGTTATCGGGTGACGATAAAAATCGCAGAATAATGGACGTTTGTCGTCGGACTGAGCTCACATGACCATGTTACAGGCAACGAGATGAATTACAAGGGCAGCGGGAAGGTCCACTTCGGGGTGGACGATGTGTCCCTCTATGGGACACCGAAGGAGGAGCCGGGCCCGGGCCTGCCGGGCCAGGAGGTCAAGCAGAGCTTCCTGAAGAATCAGCTTCAGGCCCTGTTCCAGCCGACGGACAACAAGTTGGCCATGAAGCTCTTCGGCAGCAAGAAGGCGCTTATGAAGGAACGGATCAGACAAAAAGCCGCAGGTCACTGGGTCATCCATCCTTGCTCCAGTTTTCGGTATGTCCTTCGAATATCAGCTGATCTCATTCAACAGGCAACATCAATATTTCGCGCTATCACATTTCGTTCCGGTTGAAAAACATGTTTCACCAAGAAATACCGGCCTCAGACGCAGCCTCATATCTAAGTCTGCTCGAATAAACTCGCGCACGACACATCGGTCCCGCGTTCTCCATAAGAGGGAACAAAATTCCGCATGCACTTGTCCCTCATGGGACATAAAGTTTGTACTTATAGTTATTTATATCTGTCACGATGATATTAGCAATGATTCCAATTGTTTTACAACGACTGGATACGATATAATAGAAATTCATTTCTATACAATATTAATTTTCACTCTTTTTTTTCGTAAAAATAAAAGATGTAAAAATTTATTTTCTCTAACATTTCGTAACTTACATCAATCATGAAATGTTCTTTGCGAGACTGATTATCTTTCAGACATTATAAAAGGAAATGGTTGAAAATGAAAAATTACTTCTCTTTGCAAGACTTGCTTTTAAATTAATGTAAAAAATTATCCGATTGTGTCAGTCAAGTTTTTAAATTAGTACAATTTTTTATTCTAACTTAAGTCACTACCCTTAGATATGGAGCGACGTTATAAAGAATTTGTCATTCGAATATGAATATCTCACATATATGTCGGATGTTAGCGGAAATAATAAATGACAAAAGTCGCCTGAGCAAGCGAGCGTAAATCAACGACTCGTGTCGGCTTATTCGCAACCCGAAACTTTTCGGCCTGACTACGATCCCGGGCACGAGAAACGTAAACTAGCTCCTTTGTGCCGTGCAGTAAAATATCTGCCGTATCCGGATCGTTCATCGTGCAGGCTTTTCGAGCCGTCCGAACGAGGCGCACGTCTCTCCGATCTCGAGGATCAAAAAAGAATGCATTTGATCTACGGGCTAACACGCGTTACTTGCGGCTTCAATCGATCTGGGTCGCGCGGAATATTCAATAGTTCTACAAGAATTACGGATTTAGTTATGTACATGCTCGTGTACGTACAGTTCAGCAGTCAACCTCGCCTGGCGACGAAATAGCATTGAGACTTTACGGCCTCAGGAAGAAGGCCGTCAGGCCTTCGCTTCCTTCCGGAGTCGCTTTATCGATGGCGAGCCACGATCCATCGCTGAAGTCAGAACGCGTACTGTCGGCTTCTCGCGAAGAATGTTGACACGCTCGCCGAGCCATTTAAGGATAAATGCATCGATTAGAATGACAATAAGCGTTCAAGAATGCTTGTCTACCGAACGATAATGGATGGGCGATCCTCAATTAATGGTAATTCCTTGCAGAATTAACCATTAATCAATATTAGTCGAGTAAAAAGGATTACAAGAGCATGAAACGTATTTCGAGGATCTGTATTAGTAAAGTCCTAAATATATCTAAATAACATGAAATGCATAAAATCGAGAAATGAAAGTATACTATAGAAGTTCAGAAATCCTCCGCACTAATTATTTATGTGAAAAATTGATTTGCGATAAAATGAATTAGTTTTCACATATAATGTAGTTTATAATGTGACACAAAGTTCATTAATGAATAATTTTTTAGCAGTGATGCATCAAAGTAAAACTGGTACTCACAAAGTACTTTTGATGGTTCAAAAACTATCTATTATTGAATCAATTATATATATATATGACAGCGGAATTTAATTTTCCATATAATTAATGCAGACTTTTTTATTCTCAATCCATTAAAAATAATTTACAAGTTTTAATACTTGAAAATATTACTAGAATATAACATTTTCTCAAGCTTACACAATTTAGTCTTTGACGATTCGTACGGATAAATTGTCACAGTTTAATTTTTTCCTGTTCAATGTTTCCATTACGTGTGTTTTTCTATTTTTAATTTTCGATACGAAAGAACTGTTCGGCGTAGCGGAAGAAATCAGCGGAACAAATTCGCGCGGCTGAAAACGAGCGAATGGTACCTCGTTACAATATCAAATTGCCAATATTAACTGTGCATGGCGCAGTGCGCACAGTTCCATAACGCGCGAAACACTATACTCGACCATGACTCGGTGGCAGTGACGGCGGCGGCGGCGTTTGTCGTTCCAATTGGTTGAAATTGCCTGGCGCTTCCGTTCGGAATCTTGGCTAATTACCAGCAACATGGAGGATTCTCCGTAGCCTTCTCCACGATTCCACTAAAACGCGAGACTCTCTCGTGGGCATTGAAACTTTAATTCGTTCCTCCGTTAATGGTAGCGATATCTTCCAGTTGAACGAGCGGTAACCAACGGTCGTTCTTTGCGCGACATGTAGAGCTGATATCCAGCTGCTAAATTATACAAACGAGCGTCAATGGTGCTCCATTTTCCAATCGTTATCATATAGATCAGATATCCATATAATAAAAGTCATGTAAGCTCTCGCGTTTGCCTGATATGTTTTATTTGAATAACGTGACACAGCGAGGGACGTGTGCCCTCGAATTAATAGATATATTATTTAAACACGTGCTAGCATCATCAAATCTTTTTTCTCTTCGGGGAATAATGATAATAATTTCAGTAGGTTGATATTATATTAATATCGTATAGTGCATGTGCTTTTATTCACTTCACTTTATTTTATGTATATATAAGGTTTTTTTTCCAGTCTTATAAAAAAATATATATATAAGTTTTTAAATTAAAAACTTCGAAAATATTTTTTCAATACGTCATATCCAGCTTTGTTTTTTTATGCTTTTTCATTGTTTGTAACTTTTTTATTAATAAACATACATACATTTGCTTGGTACCATTATTTTTCAATGTCTAGCGTTTCGATTGAAAGAAATGTTTTACAATATATCCATTTTTATAAAAGTTATAAACAATTGAATTGGGTGGTGTTACAATGTGCTGTTCCCGTAGTATTTGGCGTGTAAAAGTTAATATACCAAAAAAAAAAAAGATAAAAGAGTGATTTCCATCGAAATATTCGCAAACATCACAGAATTCTCGATACGGAAAACTGGAGCGGCGTCGCGGTTTTGAGATGACACGTGCGTAAATGAATGTACTCTTTGATCTATTGACCAAAATATAAATGATAGCCGAAATACCCGATAACACGTGCCATGTAGTCGGCCGTAATGTCGCTCCGTCAGCAGTTCATTATCCGAACATCCCGAACATGCATGCCTCTATAGGTGATATCATGTTAATGGAGATTCATTCTGAGCAATTAACGGGGATCCCAGACACGACATATCGATGCGAGTTCCGATACGATAGTTGACTTTCTGTACCTAATATTTAAATCGCTTAAGCAAATTCTAGACTAAAGACGATGAGACGATAAAAAATTTGTGAGACCATTGCACTCTTAAATCAAGGATACCGAGAAGTGAACCAAGTGACAGCAAGATACAAATGAATGGCAAAATTACCGAATGCATCCAAATTATTCAGATAGTTTCGAAAGTATATAGCGAGACGCGTGTCTTTCGGATAGTCTCACTGGATTTCAACTGAAGCGAAACTTTATTGGAAGCTTAGTACCGGAGATGCTCTGTGCGGAATATTAAAAATTTACGATGCACAATGCTGACAATATCATTTCCTTCGTTTTAATATGCGGCTACTAAATCGCTGTCCTTCGCTTACATACGTTGGATGAATTCGTAATTCGCCGGGTTCAATTCGCTTCGCACGGTACGTGGCATTCATGACGACACCGTGCATATGACAATATCTCGTGAAAACGTTGTAAAATTAAATGAAAATATTTTTACGCATGTGCAGTCTGAAAAAAAAAAAAGAGGAGGGAACTCTTATTCTTCCATAGGCCACTGGGAATAAAATGTGCAATTGTTTCTGTCATAAAAGCTTCTCTCATCATGTTTGCGGTTGCACATATTTGTCTGTTCTACGACGGTTGGAATTGCCGCGTTGAACATAACTTGACAGGACTCGGTCGCGAGAACACGCTCTCTTTCACCTAAAGGGAGAGACTCTTATAAACGTGAGACGTCATAAAAGTGAACATAAACCACGCTACTTAACTCCGGACAGGACATTAAATACGTTCTTTTTTCCTCGTTTCGTGTTAAATTGTATAAAAAGCTGCATCTCTCCCTCTCTCTCTCTCTCTCTCTCTCTCCGGTGAAAACGACTTTCTTCGTGCTTGATTTACCATTGATAACGTTAAGATATGCAGACTGAGCTCTCGAGCGAATGATTTATCGGCACACGGCCATGGTATCGAATATTCGGCTGTTCTACATTTAACGGTTCCTGCTTTCGGATTCGTGAGAGAAAATTTTATACTTTATAAAATGCAGTTTCCAGGCACTATAAAATTTATAATTTTTAGCGTACGCTCGGGTCTCTTTTTACTTATCCGAATTTCTTGTCACGTTTCTTTAAAAATAATAAAATAAAAAAAAACACACTTAAGCGATAATTGCTGCTGTTTAAAGTTGTAGACAAGTCTGTCTTTGATATTTCACAGCTAAATACCAGGTTAAAACAAAGGTACAAGAAAATATAATGAAATCCAAATTATTTCTTTTGTGTGTTTCGAAGCGAAATGCCTTTATTTATGTACTGCATCATCGTGAAAGAAAAAAGATAACATTTTTGACGTCTGAATAATCAAAAGTAAAATCGTTAGTGCAGCTCGCTTTCGCAATGTGTTCTACGTAGTTTCGCTTTGACGTAAAAGAAAATGATGGCACGTGCTTAAGAAGTAACGTATTTAAAGTGACAACGATTATTATTATCTAAATAATTATCGTATCATTACAGTGTATATTGGCTAACGCATAATCACCTATTGCTGCGCAATGATCCATTCTAGGCCATGTTCCGACGTATAGATACTCCTACAATACTGAAATTCTATAGTATACGTAACATGAAGATATTTTCAGTGCAGAGTGTTTGCGGAACGCAGTTCTAGTCTATTGTTTCCATTAACGTGAATTTCGAAAATAATTAGAGATTAACACAGCATCATGAACGATCAGCAGC